TTTTCACGATGTTCCCAGTAAACTGAAATTTACTTGCACCTTTTTGGATGATTTTTCTTATTTTCAAGTATTGGTTTTGTAGTGATTTTGTTTGATTGGACGGAGGGAAAGACATTGGGAAATGGTTGCGCTATGTCGTGAATTGGCAGAAGTTAGAATTCATGGGCCATTGGGTCGGGTTCTAGTGATCTAAATACTTGCCTTGTAGCGAGAAGGTCCTGGTTCCGAACCCCGGTGGGTGCGTACTGACAAAGAGTCGAAAACTGGGACGAAACAGCTGTCCATACCCTCAGGTTTTCCAGTGGTTCTCTAACTGATTATTGTTACTGCTGGTCTAAATGAGGATAGTCATCGTTACCATTTATGACAGGTTTTTCCAATACCTCATCAACATTCTGTAACAGCCATTCTCTAGCCGACTTCTAGGTTGATATACATTTATTGGCCTTTCATCATCATGTAACTGACGACGTTTCCTCAATACCAGAAAAGGTGACACATTATTACTACCACTAAATTTCTGAGGACAAACTAGTAAAGAAGGGCTACTTAGTCCTCTGCGAGGACTGACGCTCATTTGTGTTCTTGTTTACCTCAAGCAAAATATTATAGGGCATAATGTTATAGAGACTTACATAAATTTGGTGTACCATATCTCTGATTCTTTATTTGCACATCTTTTAGGAATAGGTCAAATATCACCAAATTTGATAGCTCGTTGAGTTCTGCACTGTGTTCCTAACGCTCCTTATACAGTTCTCTTCTTCGATTGTTTTTTCCAGTGTCCGAAACATATTTTTGTTACTTTTCTAAACTCGTTTACTGATATACTATTTATATCTGCTTATAAGTAGCACTCACCACAGTATCACATATCAAGTTATCCATAGTGGAAAACTCAGTCAGCTAAGCCTCTAAAGTGTATGTAGGAGAAAGGCAAGACTGCCCACTACAATCACAGATGATATTCATAAATGCGGGGGGCTGGATTATGCATCCGACTGTGGGTAGTGCGAAGATAGGAATAAGTTGGACCACTGATAAGAGGACTCTAGAAAATCTGCATTTCGCAGTTGATACATGTTTAATGTCACACAAACTCGAAGACTTGCAGGCGAAAATGAACAAATTGACAGAAGAAGCATGCAGTGGAAGATAGGACTTCAAATGAATATAGAGAAGATGGAAGTGATGAAGATAACCAACCAACGAGCAACAAAAAGCACCAATTACTATAAACGCTTTTGCTTTATTTCTTTATCAAGTGTTGGTTTTCTGAGATTTGATTGGTTACAGGATTGATCGCCAGCTGACATCGGTTAGAGGACCATTGGAAAACCAACTAGGAGTACTGGACAGCTGTTTCGTCCCACTAGTTTGGGCCTCTTCACAGTGTGGATCTATCACCAGGGTTTGACCCAGGATGTTCCTTTTATCAGTACAGCTCGTATACCATTAGGCCACCGGGATCTGACCAAATAAGCCATAAATTCTAACTTCTGCTAATTCTTGATATTTATATATATTGTAACCGCCAGCCAGTGTCACAAATGTGCAGAAGTCGAAATTCATGGATTGATTCGTCGGGTCTGCGTGGCTTAATGGTCTACAAGATCGCCTCATAAGCGGAAGATCCTGGGTTGGACTCCGGCGAGTACATGCTGATGAAGAGTCCCAAACGAGGACGAAGTGACCATACAGTAGCCCCACTATTCCAAGTGGTTCTCTAACTTATTTCTTTATAGCGTAAATATTCATTCAGACACTCCTGTGTCTTCAAAACCACTCCCCTTTTGCGTTCGATATTGAAAGAAAAACTGCCTAATTTCGCCTCTTCAGTGTTTATCTACCGATTTAACTGCTCCTGTGGAGCCAGTTGATCGCATAGGCAGTACAGTTAGGCATGTTTCTCATCGGATTTCCGAATATTACGCTGCGTGGTAAAGTAAGGGACAAAAAAAATTTATTCGCAGTGCTGTTCTGTCTCTTCTTGTGGATACAGAACACAAGACTGATGTTAACCATGCTTTCAGCGTCATTTACCGCATACCAACAAATCTTAACTTCGCCTTAAGAGTTCGATTACTAAATATTGATGAGGCCAGCTGTTGGGGTCCATTTAAAGAAGCCTAATTTGTGCATCCGACAGAAGTTAGTTCAGACAACATCCTCACCTTGGTCATCTAGGTTTGAATAAACCTGAATTTTTGTGGAATCTTCCTTATTATAGTTGATATTCTATTTGTTATCATCCTATTATTATTATTATTGTTATTATTATTATTATTATTATTATTATTATTATAATTTAAGCATCTTCAATGAACTGTAATTCCATTGTGATCTTACTTCACAAATCGATATTACTTAAAAGACACACTAATATTTTTATTGACTACTAATCTAGAATACTCTATGTATATAAACATATGTATTTATAATTGTGCAGCCAGAAGAGGAATTTCTCGAAAAGGATATTCTTTGCTCAATTATTTTGTGTTTTGTTTCTTTATGTCAATAGGGTTTGTATATGGGCATTTAATTATAATCATGTGATCACACTACTTTATTTTAGTCAGTAGTATGTTACAAACTTCTAAATTTCTGTACAAATTCACTTTTGTGATTATGTATGAAAACTGGCAGTGTTACACCTTTAATGGGCGATATGCATACAAATCGAGAATAAGTAATAAAACACATCTTACACCAGGATTCATCTACATTTTGCATGAATGATTGTAAGCAGTCAACCATATATCTATTCAGTACCATGAGCCCGTAAATACTGAATGTCGCCAAATTATTATTATTATCATTATTATTCCCTTGGGTTCCGAGTGGAACATAGAGCTTCAACAACACATCTTCACTTTCTTCTATTCACGTATCAACGAACACTTACCCACAGTCATGGTTTCATTAAGAAGAAAAATGATCCCCCCACCAACAGCTCTATTCTGGAAAACCTGATTGAATCACGACATCAAGATAACCTTAAAAGTAACTTCAAAGTCATCTACAGAATACATGAAAATCATACTAAAAGAGTACGAATCAAACTTGTACAAACCGCAGAAGCATTGCAATTCACATATTAAAACCTGAACTCTGCATACAAAAGAAGAAGTTTGTACTATCATTAAATCTACAGTGAACCTGACCTATCTTTACACCAAATACGTAATTTTTGTTTCGTCTTTTTCTTAATTGGATAATATAATTCCTGATAATTCTATAATATTTTTTTCTTCCCCTACCCCTTATTAAATCTCTACCATTGTTGTTAACTTGAATTTTGTTCAACTTTAATTTTAATTAAGCACTACTGCACCGCGTCAGTTAGATTACGCCACTGAACTTGCTTATTTAATCTTATTTTGGTTGATTTTGATTTAGAACATAAGTATACATACAGTTCAGAAATAGAACATCTTATGAACCCAAGGCATTCTACTCCTTTTGAGAAATCCCAGATTAAGATTCCCTCGCAGCAATCAATCAAACTTCTACAAGGAAGTTCGATCAAAACATTTGGGCATACGTGATATATTAAGGACCAAAAATTCAAGAAATTTAATCTTTATTTGTATTATACTATCTCATTTTACTATCTGTTATATTTTGACATTTGACCGGAAATAATTCTGGGATTTTCCTGCCTTACTGTGATAAATTCATGAATGTACGACTCACGGAATCTTTGGAAGAAGTGAAGACGGGAGTAAGACAAGGCTGGCTGACTGGTTGCTTACTATCTCCAGTGATTTTCCTGATTACAGTAGACTGGATAATGCAACAGACAGCGGCGGACAACAAGGAAATAGGCATAAAATGGACTCACACAAAATACTTGGAGGATCTAGACTTCGCCGATGATATATGTCTGATTTCTCACAAACTGGACGATATGCAAGTGAAAAGCAACAAGTTGGCTGAAGAAGCATGAAGGGGAGACAGGAAGGCCTTCAGGTGAACATAGAGAAAACAGAGCTGGTGAGGATTCCTGGCCAACAGCAACAGACAACAATCAGCCAGCATGGATGGGAGAAATCTGAAATACGCAACCTGCTTCACCAGCCTAACTGGGAAGCATCGTTTCAACTACAGGCAGGCAGAACTGATGAAGATGTCAAAGTGACAATTGAAAAAGCAAGGCAAGCTTTCACTACTCTAACGTCTGTGTGGAGGAGATCAACAGCACCCAGCATGAATAATAAGATGCGGATTTTCAACTCCAATGTGAAGACAGTGCAAATATAGGGATCGGAGACTTGGCGCTGCGTGACGAAGGCCACTTCGAACAAACTACAGACTTTCATCAACAGCTGTCTTCACTCAATACTTCGCTCAAGTTCAGATGGCCGGTCAGAAAAGATCAGCAACGGAGATCTCTGGCAATGAACGAACGAACCAACCAACTCAGCAGGAACCAACTGTGCAACAAATATGCATGCATGAAGAAATGGAGTTAGGTGGATTGGCTGGGCATACTCTGAGAAAACAAACTGTCATCAAGTGAGTGACATCCCTCACACGCCAGGCCATCGCTCGAGTGGAACCCGAATGGGAAGTGGCAAGTTCGTTGTGAGTGCGAGGGTGACATGGAGGAGGAGGCTGATGTGAAAAGGAGGTGAAAGCATGTGAGCAGACGTGGAGCCAGATGAAAACATTAGCAGAGAAGCCCTATGTTTCTCTGGGAATTAAAGGCAACAATAATAATAATATGATAATTGTAATTCTTTTAATGTATAAAATATATAATGATCAATAAATATCGCATAAAACTACTACTACTACTACTACTACTACTACTACTACTACTACTACCACTACTACTACTAATAATAATAATTTCTGTATTAAGTAGACTTATCAATTATTCAATCAATACTTTTCGTTCAAGGTCAAAAATTAAACATTCCAATTATTGCCACTTTCACATTGACTACTGAACATAAAGACAAACAGATAAACAGAAGTGTAAGAAGAAGAATAAAATGACAGAGAAACGTAATGAAATAAAAAATAAAATCTCTGAATTATTAGTTAAAACTGGTGAACGTGAAAGATTACGTGAATTTGTTGAAAATAAACTAATTGAAACTGGTTGGAATGAAAAAGTTAAACAAGCCTGTAAAGATTATATACGCACAAAAGGTGTGGATAATATCACTGTAGAAGAAGTTGTCCAAGCGATAACACCATCAGCCCGACAAACTGTACCAACTTCAGTGAAACAGGATGTTTTAGAATTATTAAGAAAATTTCTTGTTCAACATGATATTGATGTTTAAATGAATCAAATGAAGATACTGCAAAAGATGATGGCGCGAAAAAAACAAAACAAGCTTTGAACGATGGTAAATGAGTATAGAAATAACACTACAATATAAGATAAACTTTTATCAAGTATTCTACATTTTATTTATTTATGTGATTATTAATTTTTAAGTATTATAGAATTTATTTAGTAAAAAAAATTGATTTCTTTTACAACTAGCCTTTTTCTTCAAAAAGTACGCAGGAGACATCTGGGAGGTCATTGATATAAGGATTAAAACTTTAGGCACTGTGGTAGAGTATAACTCCATTATGGATAAGATTTTATTCTGATAAAGTTACACAGTGTTATACAGTAATATTTACTAATGACCACTTTTCGAGCAAAATTTATATACATGAATAAAAATTGATGATTAGACATTTGAATAAAATCAGTGTAAGATGAAGTACATTCAGATAGGAAATAAGATGTTTTTATAGTAAAATAAATAAGTAACTTGTTAGAATGTTGTAATGTATGTGAATTGAAATAGAATTTTAAGATTATTTATTATCCTCCTCTGATTTGACTGACTGGTGGTAATGATATCTTCCATATCTGTGGTATTTGCTTTGAGTCACTTCTATCGCATGTGTTATGTTGGATGTGTAGACTTGATGAACCAGGATTCAGTAATCATTCTCTCTCTGCACCTAGAATTTTGACTCTGTCACACCCACCCTATTGTATGTTTGTGTGTTAATGCGTGCAGTGCAATGCAGTGCTGAGTTTTTTTTATAAATAACTTATGTGGGATTCATAATAATAAAGGTTTTGTATTTCCCAATGAATGAACGAGAAACAAAACGATATTGCTGTTTTCACTGATGTTTCGCTACTTAATGCTGCTGCTAATAGCTTTATCAAAGTGTTATTAAGGTAGAATTTACAAAATCTCAGCTTACATATAACAACTTAATCATCTTTCCTCAGTATGGGGTCATTTTTCGTTGTCAAATTGGCCAATTGGTAAAGATAACAAATTTCATACATTTGTTCCCCTTAATGAATTTAAACAAAGCAACAACTACAGATTTTGCAGAATAAAATGGTACCATATTTTATTTCGTCGCCTTCTCTTCAGCTGCTTACAGGGCAAAAACATTATTAAATGTATCTACAATAACAATTTATCATACTTACACAGAGTTCATTTTAAACAGAAATCAATCGATCGATATACACATACACTAATAATATATACATATATGTATATATATGCAATCTTGAACACAATTCCGAGCAATAATAATCATACAAAATGAAAACTTTTTAGTATCTCGCATTAGGATGAAAAATATCCAGTTACCAGGGCAAAGAAAGACTGATAACTGCTTCTTTCTGAACGCACAAATCAGGTTTTAGGCGCTTGATGGAAAAGGCTTCGGCAAACTTAAAATATGGTACCATTTTATTCTGCAAAATCTGTAGTTGTTGCTTTGTTTAAAGATAACAAAACCAACCAGGTGTAGATGCCTGTTGGATTTGATAAGTGTATAAAATTATAAAAGCGGCGTGTGCTTACATAATGAAATTGCTTATCACATTCGTATTGATTTTGTCATTTCATGGGGGAGCGGTGGGGTGTTGTAACCAGGTCAGATTCTGTTTTAGTCTATCATTCCTATTCAGCTCAGACAATTTGGATTCCACTTGATATGAAGTGCTTCTCATTGATATAAGACGTTCTTTGTGATTTGTGAAATGCTTTTTCTGGATTATTATGTGGAAGGTCAAAGATAGTGAATGTATCTGCATCATTCAGAAATGATTTTGAGCTACTGTCGTTAACAGTCCCTAGCATATCAAGGATGACAGCCAAGTAGTTTAGACCTAGCTATGTAATTCAAATCAATGTCGAATGACTTCTTGAATAGATACGATGTTTTTGGTTTTCATTTAGTTGTATCCTCTGAGTTGGTTGGTGATTTAATTGCGGTACTTTTATTCCCTCCCTGCTACACCAAATCTTCAACGCAAGCTTCCATATAAAGTGAACTTGTTTGGTTTCTGTCTCCTGTCAATTCCATATTAGTTTGTTTATTAGGTATATCACACAGTGAAGAAACAGTATTATTTACTGGATGACGTTTCGAACAAAATTTATTGTTCATAATTTTATCAATTGTAATCACACAAATTCGAAACTTGAGTTTTATAGTTTTCTTTGTTCTCTCCTATTTATCGTCGTACGGGTAGTAGAATTTTCCAGATATCTGGGACAGGTGATGAATCATTTCTATTACATGTATTTGCAGTTGATTGGATAAACAGAGCTTTTGTTATCAATCTCTCCCTCCACCCTGTGATATTAGATTTTAAAACTGTCATCCTATTGTATGGTTGTATGTAACTGAATGTAGTGAGTGTTATAGGTGAACTATTTTCCAGATTTCTTATCTCATTAGGGTCAACTAATCTAAATTTTGCTGCTAAGTTTTTATGTTCAGCTAGTCTGACTGCCCCTGTTCTACTTGTTTGACCTATGTATTTGACCTGACAATCATTCCATTAGAGTATTAGATAAACTAAATGGTTTCGTTTAATTGGCTCCACAGGATTGATCCTTTAACCGACAAAGCTTGTTTCTAATTGAGTTTGTGGGTTTGAATGCCAGTCACTTTTATTTCTGCTTTGTTAAGAATTCTGCGTAAGGTTTCCGGGGTTCCTTCCTTGTATTAGATTCCATAAGGAATCTAAATCATCAGTAATAATTCTATTGTTGGTGTTATCATTATCTTGCGAATATATTAATACCTCCTGGCAACTTTTGTCGTCGTGATTGGTTGTTAGTTTACATCTCTATTGATCAATTTTATTAACTTTGAGTCTGAAATTTCTTGTCATTGGATTTGTTTTTCATTAGTTGGTGAATCTGCTTGAAAGTAGTGTGTTTGGTTACAGGATTTCATCATGAGTTGACATTCGTTAGAGAACCACTGGAAAACCTGGGAGCACTGGACAGCTGTTTGGTCCTAGTTTGGGACTCTTCAACAGTACTCACCCACCGGGGTTCGAACCCAGGACCTTCTGGTTACAAGGCGAGATCGTAGACCGTTAAGCCACTGGGCCCCCAATCCAATGGTTAGCCCATGAATTCTAACTTCTGCCAATTCACGATATAGCGCGACCACTAGCCAATGTCTTCGGCGAGTATTTGTCCTCACACCCGATGGCTGATTCGTTTGAGTACCAGGCTTTTGGGAATTCTCTGGCATTACTTTTGGTGTTCCTTCTGCTTAAAATGTCTACATTCTCTCAATCGTCAAATTAGTCTCCATGATTGTCTACATGCATCGATATGAAATGTCGTGTCCTTTCACAGCTAATTTCTATTCTCTGATTTTGAATTGAAGCGGACGCCCAGTTTGACCAAAGCACCGTTTATCTTAGGTCATACAATTTATTATTTTTTTATAGATGGTGCTGATCTCGCCTTCTCTTGTTATATTGGTTGAATCTTTTCGTTTGCAGAATATCGAATGAAGTGATTGTGCTGACTGGCTGGCTTGTTTGCTAAATCTATTTCAAACGTCCTTCATTATTCTAGCTGTTATTTCCGAAATGTTTTAATATATGGTAGGAAGAATTTTCTTGTGGCTTTTGATGGCTTGGCTTGTTGGTGGTGTTATGACTTGAGTTTAAACACTTTTTTGGTGAAATTGTGCGGATATCCAGTCTTTTTGAAGACGGTTAGTAGGTATTTTTCCTCCATTCTCTTCAACACAGGAGTGCTACAGTGTGTTTGGACTCTTGTAAACCCTGTCTGCACACAGTTTCTTTTGTAGGTAACTGGATTATTGCTAGTATAGTTGAGTATTTGATCTTTGTGCATTGATTTTCTGCATACTTTTGTTTCTAAATTTCCTATGTTAGTTCTCCTGATTAAGATATCCAAAAATAGGATTTTGTTATCTAATTCTTCTTCTCTTGTGAATTTAATGTCTTCAAATATGTTGTTAATTAATTTATGGGTATATTCCAAATCACATTTCTTTTAACTATTACAAATGTATCATCAACGTAAGGTACCCACAGTTTTTGTTTAATTATAGGTAGGAAGGGTTATTAATTCTAGTCTTTGCATAACGGCTTCAGCTTTTACTCCTGATATGAGTGATCCCATTGGTGTTCCTTTTAAACTGTTCGTATATTTGAGGCATAATTCTATAAGTTCTATCCAAGTTGATAATTGTGTTTTTATGTTTTCATCACTATAGAGTAATTGTTGCATAGTTTCTTTTGCTTGCTAGTTTTGGACTAATTGAAGTATATAATGCTGTGAAATCATCAGACGACACCATTATTTCATTGTCATCCACTTGAATGTTTTTGATTTTCTCTAAAAATTGGAGTGCAGTTAAGACATTCTGGTATAACCCAACACTTACTCCTACAATTCGTTAACTGTCGCATTCTGCCTATTATTCTCTATTGTTCCCCCTTAGTTTTTCCCGCCCGGGCTACTGAAGAAAGACTATAACATATTACGCAGGATGTTAAAGATTGTCAGCAGGGTAAGCAACGTGCCACTTAACCAGCTTGTTAATATTCTGGTTGACAGGCACATGAACTCATGTGAAAAATGGGCCAAGTCCATTTTATCTAACTCACACCACTCTCTTCATTCACAACTCTCCCCTTGTATCTCATCAGGTAAAACCAGAAGCCTATATAGAAAACTATATCCTCGCACCAGCAAGTACAAAAACTCAACCATACCCTACTTAGCTCGTGTTCTGTGTGATAAAGAAACCATTATATGTGACACCTATAATTCATTAAATAGTCAGTAGTACAAGTGGACCTCGTCTTTCCAACTCGTATCATTTATAGGTGCAACATTTTATTTCTTTCTTTTCCTTTTTCCTTTTTTTTTCCGTTATGTGCTGCTTTGTCTCTTTCTCTCGCTTACGCCAGTAAATATGATAGCACTTACTTTTCTAACACCTTCAAACACTGTTCAATTTT